AGGAGAGAGGGAGTGGTTGAAGGTTGAAGAAATAGTGGTAACTGGCCGGGCACCGTGGCTCATGCCTGTAATCCCAGCACTTTGGGAGGGTGAGGTGGGTGGATCAGGTGATCAAGAAATCAAGACCATCCTGTCCAACATGGTGAAACCCTGTCTCTACTAAAATTACAAAAATAAGCTGGGTGTGGTGACACACAGTTGTAGTCATAGCTATTCAGGAGGCTGAGGCAGGAGAATTGCTTGAACCCGGAAGGTGGAGGTTGCGGTGAGCCGAGATCATGGCAGTGCACTCTAGCCTGGCAACAGAGTAAGACTCTGTCTCAAAAAAAAAAAAAATAGTAGTAATTAATAGATCAAGCTCTCCTGCAGGTAAAAGGAGATGGACTAAGAGCACACGTGGGAGGGAAAGATGCTAAAGCTACAGAAAAATGAATGAGGATCAATAATGAAGTTTTTCTTGTTCATAGGTTTTTTTCAAGGTTCTATGTGGTGCATTTCCTTGTTAATGACTTAGTGCCCTGAACAGTTGTATGAAAATTTCTCTTTCCTTTTATAGAAAGTTGTTCCTTCTTAACCAACTACATTTCCCCGTTGCTACTCAAGTAGTTGTTTAAATCATACTATATGTGCCAGGGAGTAGCACTTGAGAGGTTAACAGTTCATTATCTGTTGCACAAAATTAGTGCACTAAAATACTGTGAGTCAACAGAAAGCCAGCTTCCTACGGTAGGTTGTATAAACATTTGCAATAGATAGCTCATAAAGATAACCTAGTATTTTCAATAGCACAGCACAGAACTAAAAGCCATAACTGAGTTGAACTATCTCAGTGCATCCTCAACAGTGACCAACTGTAATAATAAGATCACTAGAACTGCACTTAATATTGATCAAATATTGCTACAATGTTTAATCCAATTCTAGATATAAGAGCTCTAAAGAGGTAAGGTGATCCTCGTTTACATTTAAGGGATAAGAGGGAACAGTCTTAAACTTTAAATAAGATTTCAATTAAAATCATGATAACTTTGCTGAAACTAAGACCTTTTAATCATTGGAATATATCATATTAAGTTGAATTTGTGAAAAGTTTCCCTCCTACAAAACATGACATAAATAACACATTTTTTGACTTTGAGTCTGATATCTGAAAACACTAGAATAGATGATCAGAATGGGTTCACTTATTATTCAACATTCAAATTCTATCATATATCCTCCCCCACTTTTTTTTTTTTTTTTTTTTTTTTTTGAGATGGAGTCTTACTCTGTCACCCAGTCTGGAGTGCAGTGCCATGATCTTGGCTGACTGCAACCTCCATCTCTCATGTTCAAGCAATTCTTCTGCTTCAGCCTCCCTGAGTAGCTGGGACTACAGGTGTGTGCCTCCACAACCAGCCAATTCTTGTATTTTTAGTAGAAACAGGGTTTTACCATGTTGGCCAAGCTGGTCTTGAACTCCTAACCTCAAGTGATCCACCCGCCTTGGCCTCCCAAAGTGTCAGGATTACTGGTGTGAGCCACTGCGCCCAGCCTGTCCTCCCCTCTTTTACCAAGTAGCTGAATGGTGCTGGAGAAAATGGCAAAACCATTATGACTGAACTCTAATTTTTTGTCACAAATCTCAAATGATACAACACTTTCAGACATTCTTATTATCTTTCCTTAGTAAATATACTTTTCTTCTCACCAATATGACAATATCACACCTCTTCTCTAATCTCTAACAATTATTTTTTCTTCTTACTTCCAGTTGATGTGTCATAGAGAAATAGATGAAATAAAACAAGAGCAACTCAATTTTCCAATACCTAGTTCAACACCTCCAGCCATCTTAATCTGTATACTGTTTACTCTTCCTATTACAATAAAAAAATTTTCTTGATCCTATCAGAGGCTGATATATCATCTGTGTAGTGTATACTATTCCCTCATCTTTTCAATACCTGTTTTCTTGCAATTATTCCCCTTTTGTTCATCATCTTTTTTCTTTCCATTTAATAATTGCCATAGCCTCACAAACATGTTCTAACATCTTTTATCTTCAAAACACCATTTCTTGATTCCTATATGTCCCTCTGCCCTAATTTTTATGCTTTAAGTTAAATTCCTGGGTAGTTTCTGCATTTGCTGATTCACCTCCCATTTTCTGTACAACCCACTTCAATCAGATGTTTTTCCCCAACTACTCAACTTAAATGGCTTTCATCAACATTAGTAATGACCTATTTCTTGCCAATCCCAATGATTAATTTGTTTTCTTTTATTATTCCACCTATCAGCAATATTCGACATAGCTTATCCATTCTTTCATTCATGACAGACATCATAACAGAAATACCACATACGCTTGGTTTTTCTCCTGTGGACTAGCCTTATTTCTTGCTTTTCTTTGCTGGTATTTTCTTGTGTACTAGCAAGCTGAATATCTAAACGTTTTTAGAGTTTTAACTCTTACATTTAGGTCTATAATCCTTACTGAGTTAAATTTTATAATATAAGTTCAGTTTTAAGTATATCAGTATCCAACAGTTCTCTCACTATTTGAAAAGACTATCCTTTTCACCTGTGACAAAAAGCAGTTGATCAAATGTATATAGGGCCTGTTACTGGATTCTCAATTCTATCACATTAGCTATGTCTATTCTTAGATCAAAATCACAGTGCTTTGATTATTGTAACTTAATCAGAAGTCCTGAAATCAGGTACTGGAAGTCTTTCAACAGTATTCTTACTCAAAATTGTTTTGGTTCATCTAGGCCCTTTGCATTTCCATATCAATTTTAGAATGCATTTGTCAATTTCTACAAAAGAAATTCCTCTGTGATTAGGATTTAGATTGGCATTCCTTTGAATCCATAGACAAATTTGGGAAGAACTTTTAATAATATTGAGTCTTCCAATTTACGATTATGCTATCTCATTCTATTTACTTGAATATTCTTGAATACTTTTCAGCAATATTTTGCAATCCTTCACAAACAAAATCTGGTGCATATTTTGTTAAATTTTAGTATTTTGAGATCATTAAATATTATTTTCTAAATTCTAATTTTCAAATGGTCTTTCCATGTCTATAAAAATACAATTAATTTTTGTATATCATTGAACTCTGCCACCTTGCTGAACTCATAAATTAGTTTTTATAGATATTTGTAAAGATTCTTTAGGATTTTCTATATGAATAATTATGTTATCTGAAAATCAAGACAGTTTTACTTCTTCTTATCCAATCTATATAACATTTATTTTTTTCTCTTCCTTATTGCATTGACTAGTTACCTCCAGTAAAATGTTGAAAGAAGTGGAAAAAGTGGACATCATTGCCTTTTTCTCAATCTTAGGGGAATTCATTTTTATAACTAAGTATGATGTTAATAGCAGGCTTGTCATAGACATCACATATCAGGTAGGGAGTTTTCTTCCATTCTTAGTTGGCAGATAGTTTTTATCATGAACGGATGTTGAATTTCTCAACTGTTCTTTTAGCATCTATTGAGATGACATCGTTTTTCTTTTAATAAAGACTGTTGATATAATGAACTGATTACTTGTAGACATTTGAATAACCTTGTATTCCTAACATGAATCTAATTTTCTTGTCATATGTCATCCTTTTTGTTTGTTTGTTTTCAGGCAGTCTCACTCTGTAGTGCAGTGACATGATCTTGACTCACCGCAATCTCCGTATGCTGGGTTCAAGCGATTCTCCGGCCTCAACCTCCCAAGTACCTGGGATTACAGGTGCACGTGTCACACCCAGCTAATTTTTGTATTTTTAGTAGAGACGGGGGTTCACCATGTTGGCGAGGCTGATCACAAACTCCTGACCTCAAGTGATCCGCCCACTTGGCCTCCCAAAGTGCTGGGATTACAGGCGTGAGCCACCACGCCCGGCTGTCATATGTCATCCTTTTTATGTACTGCTGGATTTTGCTTCTTTACATTTCTGCCTTTATGTTTGCTTGTGATATCAGATTGTAGTTGCCTTGTCTTTTCTTTGTCAGGTTTTGATATTAGTGTGGTGCTAGCCTCATAAAACAAGCATCCAATCTCCTTCTATTTTCTCTACGCGTTAATATAGAATTTGTATTATTCCTTCCTTAAATGTTTGGGAGAATTTAACAGTAAGGCCATTAGGCCTGGAGGGTTTTGTTTGTTTTGTTGTGTTTGAGACAGGGTCTTGCTTGGGTGCCCAGGCTGGAGTACAGTGGCACGTTCACAGTTCACTGCAGCCTTGACCTCTCCAGCTCAAGTGATCCTCCCACCTCAGCCTAAGTAGCTGGGACTACAGATGAGCACCACCACGCCTGGCTAATTTTTTTATTTTTTTTTGGTAGAGACCAGGGACCGGGTTTCACCATGTTCCCATGCTGATCTGGACCTCGTAGTCTCAAGGGATCCACTCGCCTCAGCCTCCCAAAGTGCTGGGATTAAAGGCATGAACCACTGTGCCTGCTCTGGCCTGGAGTTTTCTTGTAAGAAGTGTGTGTGTGTGTGTGTGTGTGTGTGTGTGTGTGTGGTGAGAGAGAGAGAGAGAGGATATTCTGCTAGTAAGAAGTGATGTATATGTGGGGGGACGGAGAGAGAGTATTCTGCTACTAAGAAGTGGTGTGTGTGTGTGTGTGGAGAGAGTATTCTGCTACTAAGAAGTGATGTGTGTGTGTGTGTGTGTGTGTGTGTGTGTGGAGAGGGGGAGAGAGAGAAAGTATTCTGCTACTAAGAAATGGTGTGTGTGTGAGAGAGAGAGAGAGAATGCTGCTACTGTTGGGTTGCTCACCTATAAACGTCAATTAGGTCAAGCTGGTTGGTAGTGCTTTCAAAGTTTCCCACACTAATTTTCTGTTTACTTGTTCCATCGGTTACAGAGAAAATTCATTGCTACACTTGCCTGCCTCACAGTCCATGGACAATAAAAGGTATCCTGCACTCTAACAAGAGTTGCTGGCCCTAGAGCGAGAAGAGGCGACGGCGCGACTGTGGGTGTGAGAGGCACTCACTTCGTACTCACTGGAGTTAAATCTCTTCCCTTCAGTCGAGCCAGAAGAGAAACCCACAGTCCTTAAATCCTCCTCTCCTCCGCCTCAGCAGCAGTTCCTTTTTTTTTTTTCTTTTTTTTTTTTTTTAACCAGGCTCCGCCTTCCAGCCGAAGGCACCAATTAAACGTACCAAAAAAAAAAAGTTTCTCTATACTTTGTCCCAGGCTGACAGACTCTCGCGAGAATCGTGGAGCACCGACTGTTTCCGCGCAGCTAACGCCAAGGGATTGGTTGCCGGGGCCCGGCTGCGTCTCGGCCCCGCCTTTCCGGTACGCGGACGCGCGGTGGCGGGAATTTTGCCTGTTTGCGGTTTAGACTCCACAGATTCCTGGTTGTAGTTGGGGTCTCAGGAGGCAGAATTCGGGGGCTGGAAGTGTGAGCAGGTACGACAGATACCGCGGGCAACCGTCGCCCGGGGTCCCGGCTGCAGCTGGATGCGCGGGATGCAGTCTCCCCGCCTTCTCCACCCGAGTGCTGCCGGGCGCGGGCATGGTGGGTCTCGCCCGCGGCTCGGAGGATCGGGGTTGGCGCCCGGGACTGCCTTCCTGGTGTCCACCCCCAGCTGGCGAGGGAGCTTTCTCAACCCTGCTGCTGGGAGACGGGCGGAGAGCGGGTTAGTGACGTTGCGGAGGGCGCAGCTGCCAGGCGAGCCCAGGACGCTCTGTCCTGGAAACATTTCTTTCCTTTTCTCCTTGTCCTGGGCTGCAGAGTCGGACCTAGTGGGCGGGTTTCGAAGTCCCTGCCACAGCCAGAGTGGGTTGTGCATTTTGTCTTAAGTTCTGACACCCTCGATGGGCGGAGCGGCAGGGGAGAAGAATTGGGGATTTGGTCTGGGTTTTTCGTTTGTTTTTCCTTCGTGATGGGGGACGTCTTGGGAACTTTGTGAGGTAACCCCCAGTCTCTCGGCCCCCACCTCCAGGAGACTCTTCACACCTTCTCTTTGGAGCCCTTAAGGATACGACGAACTTCAGACATTTCAGAACATGAAGTAAACAATGGAGAACTGTTTTGTTTCCCCGACGTTCCTGACTGACAGCTTAGAGCTGGAGCTGGGGACGGAGTGGTGCAAACCTCCTTGCTTTTCTTGTGCTGTTGACAACAGAGGAGGAGGAAAACATTTTTCTGGAGAATCCTACCTCTGCAGTGGAGCCCTTAAACGGTAGGTAAAACGCAGATTTTTTCCCCTCATCTGATTATTCACCAGTTTTTTAGGAATGTTAGTTGTCATTTCAGCCCACTAAATTTTGGTGTTCACCAAACAATGTTTTATAAATCAGCTTAGTATATCATAAGAGTACAAATGAATATCAGTTCTGCTGTTGGCTTGTTGGTAAGGGCATATCTAAAGTATTTTGTGTATTAGGGAAAACTTCCTTGTTAACTGATGTTCCCTTACTGTAGGGAGCTGGGCACTAAGTTTTCTTTTACTTAAAGTGAATTCCTAACTATCCGAGCCTTTTGAAATGGTATTTCCTTTGAAAGAGTGTGATGATACTCTGAAGCTCTCCTGTAATTTTTAAGAAAGGCAAACATTTTTTGTTGCCCTGTTCCTTCTAATCCTACCTATACATATAGAAGTCTTATAGACTTATTTTACATTGGGCAGGTACATACATATCGCAGTAAAACTGCTATTCTTGAAATCTTTTGGTAATACCTGCTGAGGCAGTTTCAGTCAGGAAATTAATTTTTGTTGACTTTGTAATTGTACCTTGTTAGAGACCGTAGAGTACCCACCTTCATTAGTTGGATACAATTCTCCTGATATGCCTCAGAATAACTGTTAGCAGTTTTAAAAATTAAATGTTCCCTCTAGGATGAAATTCTGCAACTGAAGACCACTGGTGAAGACAGGCAGAAATACGTTTTTTAGAATCCTTCTTGGTGTGTTTTGTTTTGTTTTTGAGACAGAGCCTCCCTCTGTTTCCCAGGCTGGAGTGCAATGATGCGATCTCAGATCACTGCAGCCTCCACCTCCCGGGTTCAAGGGATTCTCCTACCTTAGCCTCCTGAGTGCAGTTGTATTATGGTACTTAATACATACTTTTTATGAGATTAAAACATAATTTTCATTTCAGATTAATTTTGAATCTTGATCCTTTACCAACTAATTTTGAAGAAGATATATCGGAAATATTTGGCATTCAGTGGGTTACTGAAACAGCATTAGTGAATTCATCTAGAGAGCTCTTTCATTTATTCAGGTATTTTTTTCTTATTTAACTTTCTGCGAGTGTAGGTGTTGTTCACTTTTGTAAACTACATTGTTGGGTGGCTTCTAATACTGATACTACAAAAGACCAGGAGAATTGTGCTGGTTACTTACTTGATTATCTTACCAGTAACGATAATCAGGCAGCAACACTTGATGAGTAATGGTTTTAATGAGTTGCATTTCATTTTCAGAATCTTTATTCTTTGCATTTGACATCATGTATTGACAAATATTTGAGGCTTTCAACTATAATTTTGGAAGAAAATTAAAATACTTTTGTTGTTCAATAGCCATAGTCGTTCAGTGATCTTTAGAGTATGATCTTTCTAAATAAATCATTTAGACTGTGTAATAAAAATGCTAATTCTCTATTTGGACAACATTTTAAAATTTTTTAATGAAAAATTTTACACATACACAAAAGAATAATATAATGAACGTCCATATACCCTCCTTCAGTTATAGTAAACAACTTTTTATTACATTTCCTTCATCTGTCTTGTCTCCTTTTCTTTTGACTTAAGTATTTTTAAGCAAATCCTAGGAATCATATCATCTCACCCATAAATACTTCAGTATGAATTTCTTAAAAATATGGGCCTTTTAGAATCCATGAGCATGGCCGGGTGCAGTGGCTCATGCCTGTAATCCAGGACTTTGAGAGGCCAAGGAGGGTGGATCATGATGTCAGGAGTTTCAGACCAGCCTGACCAACATGGTGAAACCCTATCTCTACTGAAAACAGAAAAATTAGCCAGACTTGGTGGTACATGCTTGTAATCCCGGTTACTCACGAGGCTGAGGCAGGAGAATCACTTGAACCTGGGAGGCGGAGGTTGCAGTGAGCCAAGATCACCCACTGTACTCCAGCCTTGGTGACAGAGTAAAACTCCGCATCAAACAAACAAACAAAAAACCTTGAACACTGTGTCGTCTCAATTAATAAAAATCAAAATTTTTCCCTTATCTTTTAAGACAATTCATATTCAGATTTTAGGTAAGTTTGAATAGGAGTCAATTATTGAAAGCAAATTATTCCAAAACATAGTAAAAATCTATATGTCATACATTTAAAGGAAAATGGAGAGGTGGAAGGAATTCTCCCACCATCATCCCATGAAACTTTATGAAGAGATTTAACTGGATCTGTGCCATGTCTTAAGAGAACAGGTTGAGTGAGTGATCCTTTGTAATCCTGAACATTACAGAATCCAGAATCAGCGACTCTATCTAGAACATACGATATAAAGATGGGTTAGTTTTTAAAGACTTTGAAATCAACTAGCAAGAATAGCAAGAAATTACTATCAGGAATTAAGATGGAACATCATAAATACAGCTTTCCCTGATAACTTTAGTCTACATTATTCCTTTTGTCAGCTTCCATTGTTTAACTGTTATGAGACAGTTTAAATTTTTATTATATAACTGTTAACCTAGAATGTTTTTTGTATTTTAAACTTTTTTTTTTTTTTTGAGACAGAGACTTGCACTGTCACCAAGGCTGGAGTGCAGTGGCATGATCTCAGCTCACTGCAACCTCCACCTCCTGAGTTTAAGCAGTTCTCGTGCCTCAGTGTCCCAAGTAGCTAGGATTACAGGCCTGCCACCATGCCCGTCTAATTTTTGTGTGTTTTTAGTAGAGACAGGGTCTTACCATGCTGGCTAGGCTGGTTTCTAACTCTTGACCTCAGGTAATCCATCTGCCTTGGCCTCCCTAAGTGCTGGGATTACAGGCCTGAGCCACTGCGCCACATCTTAACTTCTTTTTCTTTCTTTCTTTTTTTTTTTTTTAGATGGTGTTTCCCTCTTGTTGCTC